AAAAAAAAAAAAATGAAAATCTAATCATTTACATCTTTGCCTTTTTATACTGTGTTATCAAGATTGGGGAAACTAAAAATAGCCATGAAGGCCGGGCACACTGACTTACGCCTGTAATCCCCGTACTTGGGAGGCCAAAGTAGATGGATTGCCTAAGCTCACAGGTTCCAGACCAGCCTGAGCCAGAGCAAGACCTGTCTCTAAAAATAGCTGGGCATTGTGGTGGGCACCTGTAGTCACAGTTACTTGGGAAGCTGAGGCAAGAGGATCACTTGAGCCCAAGAGGTTGCTATGAGCTATGACACCACAGCATTCTATCCAGGATGACAAAGTGAAACTCTGTCTCCAAAAAATAAATAAATAAAGCCATGAAATTTTAAATGATCCACTGAAAGAACTTATGATCATTGTTGCATGCTGCCCCCTCTCCATCTGAAGTCATCTTTTGGTTTGAAGTTTATGGGCCTCTCACCCCACCACTCAGGGCTATTTTACATTTCCTATTTTACAGTTTAGAGATGTTATGTTTTCATAATACTACAGTGACTGCCTTTGCCACAAAACCATCATCCTCATGCCTCTACTCCTTTGCAAAACCATAAATCTACTAGTTCAATAAAAGAAAAAAAGGCTTTTAAATAAACAAAAACATATGCTTAACAGATGTTTTGGGAGTTGTGAACCACATGGAATAAACTGTCTTAAGGGGTGATGGCAATATGCAGAGACAGCTGATGGGGTGTTTTTGCTTTCATTTGCCTCACTCCAGGGGGTGGTGAGACACATTCAGTGGACGCCCAGGGACATGGAGGTGTACATCATGTGCATGGAGAAGGTGATGAGGCGCTATGTGCAGAGGCTGCAGTGGCTGCTGTCTGGTGAGCCTGCTCACTGTCCTGGAGGGTGGCAGGGCACAAAGAAGTGGAAGGTCCACCCCAGGGGCCCAGGGTCTGTCCTTCGAAGGCCGACCCCTTGTGGACTGTCGGGTCAGGGGATTAAGCCAGGAACATCATTTGGGTACAATATGGCTTCTGGCTTCAGAGGTCAGCAGGTGCTAGATGACAGGGCGAAGGATCCAAAGGGCCCCTGAGAGGATGCGTGCCTGACAAGGCCTCTCAGTAAGGCCACATCCATACCTTGTCTTCTTGCATGTGACAAGGTGCTCACCTTTGAGAAGCTTACCTTGGCACTGACCTGGCCTCACAGAACCAGCCCATGGCAGTAGAGACAGGAAGGTCCTGACAGAAGAAGCCTCCATTCTTCTTTACAAAGAGCACTGAGGCATTCTGGAAGAGGCAAAGAGATAGGGCTGGGTGGGGAGAGCCAGGCTCTCATCCCAGAGTCAAAGCTGGGGAAATAGAAACAGTTTGAAGCACCAAATCCAAGAGGCTGGGCAGACATCTAGATCCAAATAAGGAGGGGATTTAGGCTTCAGGGCCTGGAAGTTTCCTGGGACAATAGAAAGTAGGCAAGAGGGAGTCATAAAAAGACCCTACAGGCGGCCTTGTGTAGGCCACACAGGACCTGTGCAAATGCATTAGGTCCAATCCTCTGCAGTAGGACCTGGTATAAACAGTCTATGGGTAGTGGGTGGAGTGATGACGGTAGAGTCCAAAGTCTCCGCCAGGGGCTGCATGTGCAGTCACAGGTCAGAGGGCAAAGTGGGTCTCAGTCTCTCCCCATTCCCAGGTCACACTCAGCCCTGGAAAGGGTGTGAAGACCAGAGATCTGGCTACTTCTATCATAGTAGGAGTCCCATGCCTCATGTACAGGTGCATACCTGAACGCTATCTAGTACTCCAGAACTTACCCCAGGGATGCTTCATCCATTCATTTGTTCCTTATTCAGTGAGGGTGTTCTCCTGCTAGGTGCTGGGGAAAGGGTGGAAGGAAAACCCACCACGCCCCTGAGCTTGTGGCGCATACAGTCTCCCAAAAGTTGTGAACTGTGACAAGTGCAGGAAGAAGGGGGCATGGTGCTGGAAAGCCCTCAAAAGGGGCAGTGGGCCTAGACAGGAAGGTCAGAGAAGGCTTCCCCAAGGAGGTGATGTTTGAGTTGAAATCTAAAGAATAAAGAGATTTTCACTAGGTAAAGAGAGGCAGGGCAGGTGTGAGCTGAAGTGTCCTTGAGCAGAGAGGGAGATGCTAAGTCCCAAGACTGATGGGGGCCAGCATGGCTGAGAGTGAGGGAGAGCGAAGGGTGATGCCATCCTGAAAAGACAAGGCCATGAAACAGATTTTGCTACTGATTAGGAACAGTGGGAAACCACTAACCATTTTAAAGGGGAGAGTGATCAAGGTAGCATCTGTACTAAACCCTTGGATTGCTGCATGGAAAATAAGTTGTTGAAGGCACAGAGTGGAATCAAGGTGACCCAGTCTTGCCCGGGTAAAAGATTAAGAGAGCTGAGAAAGGGCATCAGTGACGAAGTTACATGAAGTAGGCAGAATCAGAGAGATTTGGGAGATAAAAATAGACTGGGTTTGGTGGCTTGCAATGTTTCCACTGTCAGATTCCGAAGGTGGACCCTGTCCATTTGTGATGAGAGGTCCCCTGGCCAGCTGACTGGCTAGCTGAATGTCCTCATGGAGCCCCTCTGCTTCAGGAAGCCTCCCCTCTTATTCTCCTTTTGGCACAAGCACTGCCAGAGAACAGCCCACATGAGTCTCAGGCTCCCTGGTGGCAGGTCCAGCCAACTCAGTCCACCTTTTCCTGGAGAGCTGCTGATCCATTTTTCAGCAGTTTGTCAGTTTTTTCTACTGTTTCTAGAACATTGAATACATCTCCCTCTGCTTGTCTGGCTTTACCCTGTCTTAGCTCTGTTGAGGGCCAGGCCAGAGGCTACCCGACTGAAGTATGGGTCAGAGCAGTAGGTACTGATTTTGCCTCTCCCAGCCCATGTGACCCTGCCAAGTACCCAGCCCTCTGGGTTTTCCCCTGGGGCTGAGCCCAAACCCTTTAACAGCTTCTCCAGCTTCACCCTTGCCCCTCTCTCCATGAGTTTCTCTAGTCCTGCCTTGTTGCTTCCCCACATGGGCTTTTCTCTGCCCCACAACATGCCATGGTCTTGTCCCCACCCTCAGGGCCTTTCCCTCTGTCTGGCTGCCTTAGCTGACTGCTGCTCATCCTCCCTTGGCTTCCTAATCCCCCCCCCCGCCCCATATTCATCTAACTTCACTTCTCCTCATTTGCTTTCATGACTCTCCTTTGTCCTAACCGTGGGCAGAGCTGTAATTATTTAACATCTATCTTTCCTTCCTGACTATAAGCTTCATGAGGCCAGGGACCCTCTCTTGTTCACCATAGTACTTTGCATGGTGCTAGGCACATAGCAATTGCTCAGTTAACTTCTGAGGACCAGTTGACTCCACGCTCTCTCACATCTTTTCCAGCCCCAGACAATTTTGCAACACTATTTAGGAGTGAGAAAAATCAAGCCCAGGGAGGTTATAATCACTTGTGCAAATCATCGTGGGCAAAGCCAGAGGTCCAAACCATCAGCTGGCTGTGCCCTTGGACAGTTGACCCTGCCACAATACCTCAAAGGCTGTCTCCCAGGCTCGGTGCCCATAGCTCAACCGGCTAAGGCGCCAGCCACATACACCTAAGGTGGCGGGTTCGAATCCCCAGCCCGGACCCGCCAAACAACAATGACGGCTGCAACCAAAAAATAGCTGGGCATTGTGGCGAGTGCCTGTGGTCCCAGCTACTTGGGAGGCGGAGGCAGGAGACTCGCTTGAGCCCAGGAGTTGGAAGTTGCTGTGAGCTGTAATGCCACGGCACTCTACCCAGGGGGACAGCTTGAGGCTCTGTCTCAAAAAAAAAAAAAAAAAAAAAGGCTGTCTCCCAGTGGGGTGATGTCTGCTCAGCTATAAGGCAGGCAACAGGCGTTTTGAGACTTTGTCTACCTAAGACAGATGCAGTGAGGAAGACTACCCAGCAGGAGGGACCCCTCACTGCATCATGCCTCTGCCCCCTTCTGTTTTGGAGCAGGGAGCCGCCGGCTGTTTGGCGCCATCCTGGAGAGCAAAGTGTGCATCCTACTGGACATGTCAGGGTCCATGGGCCCCTATCTGCAGCAGGTGAAGATAGGACTGATTCTGCTGATCTGGGAACAGCTGCGGAAGCACTGCGACAGGTAGGAGGCTGGGACAGGGCTCCAGAAGACCCAAGGGGAGCTCCTGGGGCTTCCCTGGCCAAACCCCTCATCACCTCTCAGTTCCACTGGGCCTGGAGATCTCTAAAATGCTCTCCCAAGTAGCTTATCTGAGCAGGGAAGAATATTGTATTGTGCTCTACAGCAGAAAGAGAACAATTTTTAGAAATCCATCTCAGGCCCAGGAATAATCGCAAGCTAACAATGGAACCACCACGCGGCCTGAATCATGGCTTTCAGCTGAATTTGATTACAGGCAATCCCCAAGTTATAAATATCCATTTTACATGCCACTCGCACTTAGGAATGGACGCTGTTATAGGTAATAGGTAAATGTAACTGTTCAAACTTATGTACAAATTCAACTTAAGAACAAACCTACAGAATTTATCTCATTTGTAACCTAGGGACTGCCTATATTTTATTTATTTATTTACTTAATTAATTTTTGTGCACATGGTTTTTAAGTAGGAAAAATTGTTTTTTTTCTCTATCCAGAAGGGAGGACCCTGAGGGGACAGAAGGTTCTCTGGTCCCAGGCTGGGACTTATTCTTGTCTTAATAAGAGTAAACATTTATTGAGTACTTTCTGTATGCCAAATGCTTTATGTGCATTATTTCATCAATCTTCACAGCATATCATATTTTTCTATTATTATCTCTGATTTTTCAGTAAAAGGAAGGTAGGGGTTAGAGAGGTCAAGTAATTTGCCCAAGATCCCACAAGCAGTCAATAGCTGAACTAGCATTTATTTTTTATTTTTATATTTATTTATTTATTTATTTAAGACAGAGTCTCAAGCTGTCACCGTGGGTCGAGTGCCATGGCATCACATCTCACAGCAACCTCCAACTCTTGGGCTTAAGCGATTCTCTCACCTCAGCTTCCCAAGTAGCTGGGGCTACAGGAACCGAACACAAAGCCCAGCTATTTTTTCTGTTGTTGTAGTTGCAGTTGTTATTGTTGTTTAGCTGAGCCAGGCCAGGTTCGAACCTACCAGCCTCGGTGTACGTGGCTGGCGCCATAACCACTGTGCTACAGGTACTGAACCCTGAGCTAGCATTTAAATCCATTTCTGTCTTCACCTATTTTTGACAGTGTGCTTCTCTAGTTCTCAAGCGGCCCATAGCCTTCTCCCTAAGGGGCCACAGGGCTCATAGTAGGGCTATTCAATGACAGGTACCAATAGTCTTGATGAAGGTGACTTGCCCTGAATTCAGTCTAGACTGGCCTGCTCTAACCATTCTCCTCCCCCTCTCTGCCCCTTGCCTCTTCTTTCCTCCTCCCTAGTTTTAACCTGCTCAGCTTTGCAGAGGGCCTTCAGCCATGGCGGGACACTCTCGTGGAGACCACAGATGCAGCGTGTCATGAGGCTATGCAATGGGTGACCCACCTGAATGCTCAGGGAAGCACCTCAATCTTGCAAGCATTGCTGGCAAGTTCCACCACTGAGCCCGACCCTGAAGCAAAGCAAATACCATCATCCCCTATATGGATATCACATGATGTTTAGGATTTACAAAGTGTGACTTCATTTCATCTTCCCAACAACCCAGTAAGGAAGGGATTCTGGTTGTTCTCACCTTATAGATGAAGACACAGAGCTCAGAGAGGTTAAGTGACTTGCTTGAGGTTGACTAGCTAGGAAGTGGGCCATGTTTTTCCTCCTAACCCTCAGCGGCTTGCCTGGTCTGTCTTAGGCTGAAGGGGGCGTCTCTCAGTTCTACTGGACAACAAATTAGTAACATCCCTTGGGGACAGCAGGCACCACCTTGAGGCAATTGGTTTTTGTCCTTGTGGGTAAGTCCTTCCTCCCATGCCTGACAATGTGACAACCTTCCTGTCCCCTTTCAGAAAGCTTTCAGCTTTCGTGACCTGGAAGGAATATACCTCCTGACTGATGGGAAGCCAGACACGAGCTGCAGCCTTGTTTTAAGTGAAGTCCAAAGACTCAGGGAGAAGAGAGATGTAAAAGTGCACACCATTTCCTTGAACTGCTCGGACAGGTGGGCAAGAAGGCATCAGTTCTCAGTTTTATTCTCTTCCCATAGAAGAGTGAGCTCCTCAACTAACTGAGGGACTCACTCACTTACTGGTCTTTCCTGGGCCCTAGTCCTGTAAGTCGGAGTCCTGTAAGTAGGAGAAGCATTGTTTCCTAGTGGGCTCAGGCAGGCAGGGTGAAAGCCCTTCTCCCTACTCTCACTTTCCCCACCAAAGGGATGCTTGTCTGACTATCTCTAGCCTGGAAACACATTTGTACCAGTTCACACAGTCACATCATATCCTCCCTCCTGATCTTTCTTGGGAACACATTTGTGAATATTTAGGAGGAAAAGCTAGAAGGGAGAACATAACAGACTAACATGTCATCATTATAGTTTTTTTTTTTTTTCTTTTTGCAGTTTTTGGCTAGGGCTGGGTTTGAACCTGCCACCTCCAGCATATAAGGCCAGCGCCCTACTCCTTTGAGCCACAGGTGTCACCCTATAATTATATTTTGTAGATGAAGACACAGAAGAACCTTTTGGCCAGGTGTGATGGCTCATGCCTGTAATCCTAGCACTCTGAGAGGCTGAGGCTGGTGGATTACTTGCGCTCAGGTGTTTGAGACCAGCCTAAGCAAGATTGAGACACTGTCTCTACTAAAAATACCCAGGCATTGTACTAGGCGCCTGTAGTTCCAGTTACTTGGGAGGCTGAGGCAAGAGGAACTCTTGAGCTCAAGAGTTTGAAGTTGTTGTGAGCTGTGACACCACAGGTGTCTACACAGGGTACAGAGTGAGACTAGGTCTCAAAAAAAAAAAAAAAAGAAGAACATGTTTAGATCATAGTGACTCAGCTCCTTCAGAAAAAAAATTATTATTAGCAAAATGGGCTACATATGTGTGTATTTTATCTCTCTATCTCAACCGTGAGCACTGTAAAGGTCACACTTGGGTTCCTTATAAGCCTAACATATAGTAAGCGCCAGATAGACATCCGGCAAAGGCATGGGGCGAGTGTGCTGGCCAGGTGCTTTGAGGGAGTCTGGGCTACATGGCAACACAAAATCTCCTCCCTTCAAGCAGCAGCAGAGTGTGCTGGCCGGAGGAGGGTACTTGGTGATGAAACAGTGTTCTCTCCATGGCACAAGCCAAGGCCCACTGCTGGGCCATTTGTCTTAAGCTCCACAAACTTAAATTCCCCGTGGGACTGGCGGCCCATGGGGAACTTGCCTGGTAGCCACCCCACACAGCCTTCTGTTCCTTCCCCAGAGCTAAGGTTGAGTTCCTGAAGAAGCTGGCTTACCTCACTGGGGGCCGCTATCACTGCCCTGTGGGTGAGGACACGCTTGTCACCATTCGCGGCCTGCTGACCAAAGGCTTCATTGAGGAACAGGTAGGTTGTGGAGCTATAAGGTAGGTTGTAGATCTACAAGGTCTGTTGACCGCCTTTTTAGTCCTTCTGACTAAAAAGATCTCTGTTTCTCTTGTGAGACAAAGTATGGACTAAAAATGTGGGATTTCCTTGCTGCCATCCTCAGTGCAGGGAAACAGGCAGTACCTGTTGAGCACTTATGTTGCTTGATACAGATTATCTCTCTTGGGGCGGTGCCTGTGGCTCAGTGAGTAGGGCGCCAGCCCCATATACCAAGGGTAGAGGGTTCAAACCTTGCCCCAGCCAAACTGCAACAAAAAAAATAGCCAGGCATTATGGTGGGTGCCTGTAGTCCCAGCTACTCAGGAGGCTGAGGCAAGAGAATCGCCTGAGCCCAGGAGTTGGAGGTTGCTGTTAGCTGTGATGCCACAGCACTCTACTGAGGGCCGAGGGTGACAAGGTAAGACTCTGTCTCTAAAAAAAAAAAAATAACAGATTATCTCTCTTTTTTTGTTTGTTTGGTTTTTTTGAGGCAGAATCTCAAGCTGTCACCCTGGGTAGAGTGCTGTGGTGTCATAGCTCATAGCAGCCTCCATTTCTTGGGCTCAAGTGATCCTCTTGTTTTTCTATTTTTAGTAGAGAGGGGTCTTGCTTTTGCTCAGGTTGGTCTTGAACTTGTGAGCTCTAGAAATCCACCCACCACGGCCTCCCCAAATGCTAGGACTATAGGTGTGAGCCACTGTGCCCGACTGATATAGATTATCTCTTTTAATTATTGTACCCATTTAACAGATGCACAAACAGGCTCAGGGAGGTTTTTAGGAGTTCACCTAACATCAGAGGAGCTGGTAAATCCCAAGACACCCATGATCTTAACCTCTATACTTTCATTCCTGTGTATTTCATTTATTCCCATTCAATTCATCGAAACACAGATGTTCCAATTTCTGTTAAGGAATAGAAGTCTAGTGGAGTCATAGGTTATCTATTAAGTAATAAATCTATAAAGTCACAGGTTCTGATGATCCTCTTTTGATTTGATAGAAAAATTTTGCACACATTTGTACCTTTTAGGACTGTAGTGTTATCAGTGATAACATTTCCAGGGCTCCAGGGCAACAATTATGAAGTAAGACAATTGACCAGAATTCCAGATTTCTTTTTGGACATTAAAGGCTACTTTCACATAACAGGCCATCATTTCTGAAGTCTGGGTGACCTTACATGACTTCTTTGTTCAAGTAGCTCTTGTAGGGACAAATATTCCAAATAATACAGGGAACAGAACAAGTTGATAAAAGTAACAAATAGTCACCCAAGAGTCCTTATGACAATATCATGAAGGTGCTCAGTTTAGTACCTTATCAAGTCAGGTTCTTTGAGTAGTTTTTGCTTGCAGAAAACTACTACTTACTGCCCCGGAAAAGGGACAGCTTCATCTCCTGAAACTCAATGGTGAGGTGTGTGTTTTTAGAGGAAGGCTTTGCAATTTTTATTAGTTAGCACACACACACAAAGTATGCCCGTGAATCTTTGTTTTACTGGAAGAAACTGATAAAGGGCTAAAGAGATTTTACCAAATAGCAGAGAGATAAGGAGCATATACCATTTCAGTTGTCTGGCCCGGAGGTGCCAATTTTACTCAGCTTCAGAGACCACCTTGCTTTGCCACAGCCCCGTCCCTATGCTGCCTCTCAGACATCTTATTTCAAACTGTAGCACTAACAGAATGACTGCCTTGTATTATAGGAAGTGAGTTTCCCATCCCTAGAGACATATAAGCTGAGGCCCACAAGATTTCCTGCACCAGGCAGCAAGCTGAATTTAATTATATCTAAAATTCTTCCTCTGAGATTTTGGATTTTCATGTCCCGTCCAGTTATTTAATAAATTGAACTTCACACTCATTTTTCCTTTCAAAGGATCCCACATTGCCACCATTTGAAGGAGATGATTTAAAGAGACTGGCTAGGGAGATCACCAAGGCCAGAAGCTTCCTCGGGCAGGCCCAGTTCTTCAGGTATGCCCCTCCCACCTGCCACAAGGCTGTGGCCTACCCAGACTCTGGGCTCCATCAAAAAGGGCCTGCTAGTCACAACACCCCTGCTACAAGTGCTCTGCCATGCCTCTTCCCAGCAGCCCAAAAGTCTGGGCACCAGGGGGTCCATCTTCCTTCATCTCCTGCCCACCAGATCCCAGATCCAGAAGAAAAACAATGTGAAACCAGAGGTTGCTGTTCCTTAGAGAAGTGTTCTCAGGTAAGGTGTGGGGATGAACACTGCACCTGTTGAATGCCCAAGGCCCAGGCAGCATGCTCTATTTTGTGGACAGTAGTAACTTGGGGTGGAGAAAGGGGCAGAAATAATGACCTTTCTAAGCAGAAAGGCCATCCTACAGAGGACCACCTGTTGAGCACAGCTTTCGCCTTCGTGGTGGGATGTCATAGAAAGCAGTGGCCCACAGGTGGTCCACAGAAAACATGGTTCCAGGCACCAGGATTTCTTGGAAGTGGAAAAAGGAAAGCCTCAGTTCTTTGGGTATGGGGCCATCCCTGCATCTACCCTAACTCTGCTGCCCTGTGCCCCAACACACCCTATACTTCAGCCACAAGATGTCACTCGCTGGGAAGCCCTGCACCAAGCCCCCTGTCTGGAACATGCTTCCCATTACCCTCTGTTTGGTGACTCCTGCTTGTCTACCAAGGCACAGCTCAAATGATATCACTTTCCACTGTGAAGATGTCTCTGGGATTCATCTAGAGAGAGGGGCCTTCGGGCAGAGCTGGACGCCTCTAGCCTTCCTCTTGTGGCATCATGACCAGCCATACCCCTTACTGCACTTAATGCTCACATTGTGACTCCTTGCTAACTTATCTAACTCTTCTTGACTGTGAGCTCTCTCAGGATGAGACTGGTGTCCTAATCATCTGTTGGTCCACAGTCTCTGCCACCAGGCAGGCACGTAATACACAGTGAGCATCCAGCTGAGCTGTGGGAGCTCAGCTCTGGAAAACAGTCAAATCGGGTTTTTCTACCCTAGTCCTTTCTGTGCTTCTACCACCCTGGCCCATGGGGACCAAGGCAGACTCACCATCAGCCCATCCTCTCCATGCCACCCCCCATACCTATTCAACCAAAGTGAACTGAAGGCTGTTCTGGAACCCAGTCCAGAGCAAATGCTCTGCTTAAGTATGTGAAAATCAGGCTGGGTCTTCTGGGCCCAGCCCCTCTGTGTACATATGAAATGAATGTGTCACATATTGTGTCCTTTTCTAAAATTAAAAAATTGCTTTATTGCATTAAAAGGCTCAAAATGACTTTAACTGTTTGAAGTGATCATTGGGTGTGTGTGTGTGTGGAAAAAAATTTTTTTGAGACAGTTTCACTTTGTCACCCTTGGTAGAGTGCCGTGGCATCACAGCTCACAGCAACCTCTAACTCTTGGGCTTAGGTGATCCTCCTGCCTCAGCCTCCCAAGTAGCTGGGACTATAGGCGGTGTATGGAAATTTTTGATGAGATAAAACTTTATTAAAAGACTCATATCCTGGCTTGGCACCCGTAGGTCAGTGAGTAGGGTGCCAGTCACATACACCGAAGGTGGTGGGTTCAAGCCCAGTTCGGGCCTGCTAAACAATGACAACTGCAACAACAACAACAACAAAAATAGCCAGGCATTGTGGTGGGCTCCTGTAGACCCCGCTACTTGGGAGGCTGAGGCAAGATAATTGCTTAGAGAAGTTAGAAGTTGCTGTGAGCTGTGATGCCACAGCATCACAGCATACAAAGGGCAACAGAGTGAGACTATCTCAAAAAAAAAAAAAAAGACTCATATCCAGGATATATAAAGGACTTCAATAAGTAAAAAACAGGCTCAGTGCTCATAGCACAATGGTTGTGGCACCAGCCACATACACCAAAGGTGGCAGGTTCAAACCCAGCCCAGGCCAGCTAAACAATGACAACAACAACAACAACGAAATAGCCAGGCATTGTGTTGGGCACCTGTAGTCCCAGCTACTTGGGAGGCTGAGGCAAGAGAATCACTTAAGCCCAAGAGCTGGAGGTTGCTGTGAGCTGTGACGCCACAGCACTCTACCAAGGGTGACATAGTAAAACTCGTCTAAAAGTAAAAAACAAACATCTCAATTTTTTTTTTTAAATGGACAGAGGACTCAAACAAGCACAAACAGACAACAGACACATGAAAAAGCGCTCAACCACCTTACCTATCAGGGAAATGCAAATTAAAACCACAATGGGACACAACTGCATTCTCCACTAAAATGGCTAAAAAGAAATAGACTGATGATATCAAGATATAGAGCAATTAGAAAACTCATATGTTGCTGGGGGGGGGGAGTCTAAATGATTTAACCATTTTGGAAAACTATTTGGCAATTTATGCTAAACTAAAACGTGCTTATTCTATGATCTGGCAGTCCCCCACAATGGGACACAACTGCATTCCCCACTAAAATGGCTAAAAAGAAAAAGACTAATGATATCAAGATATAGAGCAATTAGAAAACTCATATGTTGAGGGGGCGGGGAAGTCTAAATGATTTAACCATTTTGGAAAACTATTTGGCAATTTATGCTAAACTAAAACGTCTTATTCTATGATCTGGCAGTTCTACTCTAAGAAAAGTGAATGCATATATGTTCAACAAAACCATATGAGAACGTTTATTGCAGTTTTATTCCTAAGAGCCCATAACTGGAAACTACCCAATGTCATCAATGGTAGAATGGGCAAATAAGGCTCTGCACCTGTAGCACACTGGTTACAAGTGTCGGCCACATACACCGAGGCTAGCGGGTTTGAACCCAGCCAGGGCCAGCTATACAACAATGGTAACTGCAACAACAACAAAAAATAACTGGGCATTGTGGTAGGCACCTACAGTCCCAGCTACTTGGGAGACTGAGGCAAGAGAATCACTTAACCTCATGAGTTAGAGGTTGCTGTGAGCTGTGATGCCATGGCATTCTGCCAAGGGTGACATAGTAAGACTCTGTCTCAAAAAAAAAAAGAATGGGCAAATGAATTGTGATACATTTGTGCAGTGGAATACTACCCATTAATTTCAAACAAATGAATTACAGCTATATTCAACAATATGTATTAATATTAATCTCACAAACAACATTGGACAAAAGAAACCATACACAAAAGAGTACATACATAATGCCATTTATATGAAGTTCAAGATCAGGCTAAACTAATATTGTAAATTAGAATGTTTACCCTGGTGGGGGAATTCCCACAAAAAGGGGACAGCTGGGGTGCTGGAAATATACTATGTCTTGATCCAGGTGATAGTTACATTGGGGTAAAAATTCATCAAGTTGTTTAAGAACAGTTACTAAGACTTGACAAGCCCAGCTCCGGCTAGGCTCTGTGCTGGCCCATAGTCCCCACCATGGTCAATCTCAGTCTGGTTCATCTTGAACAGCTATCATTGTGGGTCACTCCTATAACAGAGAAAATGGCCTGCAGTGGTTGTATTAATTTTCTAGGGCTATCATAACAAAGTACCACAAACTTGAGTGACGAGAACAACAGACATTTATTGTCTCACAGTTCTGGTGGCTAGAAGTCTGAGATTAAGGTCCCAGAAGGGCCACATAACAAAAAAGACATGACCAAAAAAAGTGGCAAAGTCAAGATTTAATCCAGGCTTCCCTCCTCACTTCTAGTAGCTCCTTGGCTTGTGGCAAATCTCCCTACGTGCCTATCTGTGTCCAAATCCTCTCCCTTTTATAAGAACACCAGTCATACTGGAATGGGGGCCGAGCTTCCTCCATTATGACCTTAGCTAATCGAGTCTGCAATGATTTTATTTCCAGAGTTAGGTTTAGGTGCTAGGAGGTGAGACGTCCATATGTGAATTTTGCAAGGGACACAGTTCAACCCATTGCAGCTGTGTGGTGGTAAGCTATACTTCTCCTTGCAAGGAAACAGCACCAGCTCGTGGTAGGGAATAAGAGTTCTCCAGCCCTGCTGGTGGAAGAGGAAGTGGCTTCTTGTGAATAGAAGGACAGATCACAGACATGGCTCATGAAGTGGTGAAGTGCAGGACTAGGTTTGAATCCCAACTTCTCACATAATGATAACAGCTACCATTGGCTAAACACTGATTGAGCAGGCACCATGCTCAGCATTTTACATATACCATGTTATCCATAAGCCTACCAACATCCCAACAGTGAAGCACACACCATTTCCAGTTTATGGACGAGGAAACTGAACCTTGTAGCTTCCCAAAGAAACATGACAAAAAAGTGGCAAAGTCAAGATTTAATCCCCGGGCTGGCTGGACACATGCCTGTAACCCCAGCACTTTGGGAGCCCAAGGTAGGAGGATCGCTTGAGGCTAGGAATTAAAAACCAGCCTGGGCAACATAGTGAGACTCCCATCTCTAAAACAAAATCAAACAAAATAAAAAACAGGGCTGACCCTATTGCCTTTTTGCCACCACACTCTGAGTCCAGTTTCTGAACCTCTTTTTCTGGGTCTAAAATTGCACTAGAACAGAGTTGTTAGGGTTAAACAAGATACCTGACCATCTGGCATATGGTGTGTTCAGGCTAAGATTTTGTTTTTCTCTTCTCTGCACCTGTGCCCACAGGGGGTGTCATGTGGGTGGAGCTTTTCCACTCACCTCAGTCCCTGTAGCTCCATTATAGCAGCTGTGTGAGCTGTTGGGCACGTGCCTGCCCCTCTGCTGCTGCCACTTGAATGCGTTTTCCAGGGAGGGTGTGATTCATCTGGGTTCCCAGAGCAGGGGAAAGGCCAGTAGTGAAGAAGCGCCCATTAAATGTGGAATGATGGGGTTGGTGAATGGATCAACATAGAGATGGGTGGAGGAGGAAGGCAAGAAAGGAAGGGTAAGTAGATGGTTGGAAGAAATACATATGGAATGAACTGGATGAATGGAAGATTGGATAGATAGGCAGAAGGATGAATGTGGAGAGATGAAAGGGTGGAAGCATGGACCCAAAGGCTTGAACAGATGGACTAAATTAGGATGGGTGAAGTCTGAATGATAGAAACAGATGGAACGATGGGCAGATGAATGAATGGACAAAGATTAGTAAACAATGAGTGGAAGGATGGACGAATGGATAAAAAGACGAATGGAAGATTAAGCGGGATGATGGATAAACCAAAGAGCAGGAGGAGGAAGCAAGGCAGGTTCAACAAAAAGGAACGTATAGGAGAATGAATGGGGTAGGTGGGGAAAGCAGCACTATTTCTTGTGGTTTTAGGACGGTGTACAGGCAAGAAAGAGCCCTAAGCACGCAGGGCTTTTGCGTCCTTTCTTCACTAGAAGCTTGGCGCTTTTCTCCCCATTCCTCACTACTGTCGGGTGAGAGCCTGCAGGAACTCCAGCGCCCGGAGCAGACCCGGGCTGAGGAAAAGTGCGCAGCTATATTGGGGCAGCTGCGGACCCAGCCTCACCCTGATAAGCCCCGCCCATCCTCGCTCAAACCACGCCCATCCTCGCCCCACCCCCAGGAGGCGGTGGCCCTGAGCTGCGCGGCTAGGCTAGGAGACCCACACACCTCCGGGAACTCACATCCCCGCGGGAGCCCAGGCCAGGTGAGTGCAGCCCAGACGCGGGCTGAGGACGCGAGTGTGGGGGGCAGCGTAAGAGCCAGGGGATTATAGGAGGTGGAGACCTACCAGCCAGCTGCCCACCAGGCGGGAGTCGCGCTCTTCTGCGACTGGATCCCCCGTCGACCTGGATTTGGACAGAGCCATTTCCAGTGACTTCTAAGTTCCCCAAAGTTCTGTGAGCCTGTGCTTGCACCGCCTGCTGATCGGAGGCGTGGCCTCTGCTTCACTGTCCAGCTAGCAGAATGAAATGTGGCGTTTTGGGGGCCCGGCGGCCCTTGGAGTAGGGGCACTGCCAGATCCCGAACAGGCCCGAGAGGCTTTATTCATCCAGCAGCCATTTACTGATGGCCTGCTTTGTGCCTGTGCCTAGGTGAACAAAACCCTCATGGAGCGTGAGAACTAGATTTGCAAAACTCTTGGGCATCTGTACAGGTGGAGGAGCCGCCAGGGTTATCTGGGTCCATCTCACAGCTGCCCACACTGAGGTGCAGTGAGGTTTTAAAGATGTTGCCCAAGGGCACACCCCAGGAAATGGGAACCTGAGGTCAGCTCCCAGCCCTTGCCACAAAAGTCATACCCTTGGAGAAGAAAGACAGTGCTGGTCCCATAGACCTTTTGCCAGAGAGAGTTCTCTGAATCTGGCTAGAAGAGAGCTCCACTCTGGGGCTGCATCCTCTCCCTCCCCTGGAGGAATTAGGCCTATCCTCTATGATGACTCTGATCTGGGGTGTCCCTCCATTAAACCCATAAATGTTAGTGCTTATGCAGGGCATGACTGTATCCCTCACCCAGACTTTGGTCAGGAGACTAAAATTTAAATTCAGCCCCAATTACTATAAGAATCCCTGCCCTATGATCACAACCAGCAACAACTACGGGACTTATCAGTCTGTCAGTCACTCAACAAACACCTGTTCTGATAGGCCACCAGTATGTCCCATGCAGGGCTGAGACACATCCCTCTGCATTGGTAGGACCTGGTGCATAGCAGGCTCCTAGAACACATTTGCTGTGATGATGATGATGATGACAATAACAGGCCGCTGGTCCAGCCACATTCATCCTTATGTGGAGTGGGAGCTCAGGAGGGATGGGAGTGACAGTGACAGCCTGGCTCACTTTAAGTCTACAGCGAGGATGACAGGGTCTTCAGTGCTGTCCCCCTAGGTCCATAGACCTGACCCTGAAGCCTGTAGGAGGCTTGAACACACCCTGTGGTACCAGCCACCTGCACTATTGAGGGAACTGGGAGAACCAGAGGCAGCAGGTGTCAGGGCAGGGGCACCTTTGTGGATCCTATGTAGGTTCTTCTCCCACCCCCACCCTCCTTTTCCTTCCTCCTCCCTCACTTCTTCCTCCTCTTCATCTTCTCCTCCTCTTTTGGGACCTCCCCATCTCCTCAGTCAAAAAGCAGTCACTTCTCAGTCTGGTGAGGTTCCCTTTGGTATGATGTGATCTGTCTTCCTCTGGTACTACATGAGAACTAGGTTGGGGGGGGGTTGCTTTATTTATCTATTTTTGCAGTTTTGGGCCGGGGCTGGGTTTGAACCCGCCACCTCTGGTATATGGGGCCGGCGCCCTACTCCTTGAGCTACAAGCGCCACCCAAAAACTAGAGTCTCAAGGTAGAGAAGTCAGTAATGCTTGGTATAAGTATCACGCATACAGTGTGACTTTGGGCCTCAGTTTACCCCAGCTATAAAATCCAAGGCTTGGCTGCCTTGTCTCTGACTCTCTACAAGAGGCAGAGCCACCCTGGAGGTTCTTGAGATTCTGAAAGGGATAGGTGCACTGGGAATTCAAAGGATCCCTAATTTCCCCCCTGGAATTCCCCTCAGTCTTAGGGGTCTGATAATCTAATGACTTGAGAAAACTCTAGAACATTCTTTATTCTATTTTTCCCTACAGGTGAAGACGGTTTCTGGGTCCACATGGCTCCATAGAGGATGAAGCCCAACCCCACAGGCTCCTCCCCAGAGGCCTGCAAAGCTGCAGGCCAGGGCGAGAAGAGCTGTCCTGTCTGCCAGGCCTGTGGAAGCATCTCAGGCCCAGGGTCTGGTGTAGGGTTGGCATCTGGGCCTGGACCAGGGCCTGGTGCTGTTCCAGGGTCTGGACTAGGACGTCATGCTATTCCAGGACGTGGATCAGGGCCTGGTATTGTTCCACTGGGGCCTGGGTCAGGATCTGGTGATGTTCTAGGACGTAGATCAGGGCCTAGTGCTGTTCTGGGGCCCGGGCTGGGACCTGGTTCTGTTCCAGGGCCTGGAGCAGGGCCTAATGTTCCAGGACGAGGGGAAGGGTCTAGTGCTATTCCAGAGCCTGGGACAGGACCTGGCACTATTCTGGGTCCTAGACCAGGTCTGGGTCCTGGGCCAGGACCTGAGTCACTACCTGGGGCAGAGTCAGGGCCATGGCTTAGACGGGGATCTGGAACTGGTCTCAAAGCCAGTGAGTCAATGACAGCCCCAACACCAGCACCACAGCAGAAGACTCAAGCTGGACCTGCCAAGGCCCCTCAGCAGAAGGTTCTGGTGACTGGAGGAGGAGGCTACCTGGGCTTCAGCCTAGGTTCCAACCTGGCCAGGCGTGGTATATCTGTCATTCTACTGGACCTCCGCAGACCCCAGTGGGCACTGCCCTTGGGGACTGAGTTCATCCAGGTGCCCCACATGGGAACTGGTGGTAGTGGTTGGGGACAGTGTCTAACTTGAAAGCAGTGATATAGAGTATAAGAGCACAAGCTCTGGGGCCAGACCATGAGCTCTGACTCTAGCTTCAATATTTCCCAACTGGGCAGCTGTAATCTGTATCTCTGAGCCTTACCATCCTCATCCCCAGTAAGGGGACAGTAATAATATCTGCTTCATAAGGTCTCACAGGGAGTTGGCAGGGTGGTACACATAAAACACCCGCACAGCCCCTGTGACCTAGACTGTGTGATACCTGCAGCTGGTGGTGCTGCTGCTGCCCTGCAGAATCAACTAGTAAATCCTGCCCTCCCAGCCTTCCCTGGCTGGGGAGCAAATCAGGCACCAGGCAAGGTACAGGTTGTTATCTCTGTTGGCCCTGGACTTGACACCCTGCCCCCATCTTTTTCTTCTCTGTTTCAGGCTGATGTCCGAGATGAAACAGCCCTATATCGTGCCTTTGAAGGGGTGGACTGTGTCTTCCACGTGGCCTCCTATGGAATGTCTGGTGCTGAGAAGGTGAGCCCCTCACATACAATGCTCAGAGTTGGGCAGAGTGGGGTTCATGTGCTGGCTGTGCCCACCATGCCCGCCACCTCCATATCACTCTTCACCTCCACCTGGAAGGATTTGGGCTCCTCTCAGCCTCTATCCTGCATCCATGAGACCAAATACCCGTTCTGCCACCTTCACCTAGGGCAAGTTAACTTACCCTCTCTGAGCCTCTCTTTCCTCATCTAGAATGTGAGAACATTCCTACTACTTATATCACAACCTTTTCAGAGAGCAATGTGACAGTATCTATCGAAACATACACTTTGACTCAGAAAGGGCACTTATTTGTGTATTTGCAGCATTGTTTTTAATAACAAAACACCAGAAGTAACCTAAATGCCCATCATTTGGGGACTGTTTAAATATATTGTGTTGTACCCACACAATGAAAGGAAATTCTCTGCAGCCATTCCAAACAGTGAGGTGACTCACATGTGCTGATAATAGAACAATTTCCAAGGTGCAAAACAATATTTGTATCCTTATGTTTGTTTAAAACAAAAAATTAGAGTAGATGTTTGTTTCTATACCCACACCTGTATATGTCCTGATATTATCTCTAGATTATCTCTAGAAACACACAGAACTGTTAACAGTAGTTGCCTTTGGGGAAGGAAAAGGAAGACTTTGAATCAGAAGTGGGAAGGAAATGTCCTTTTCACTGTCTACCCTTTTTACTGTTTGAATTATTTTTAACCCTGTGATTATATTACCTATTAAACAAAAAACACTGTAAGAAAAGTAAATATAGCTTAAAAATAAGAAGAGAACTCACCTCCTGGTGTTATAAGGATTAAATGAGACCAGGGATCAGGAAGCTCTCACCCTGTTCCTGGCTCACAGAGCCCTCCCCATGGTCATCTTGGGTTTTCACAGCCCCCTCACTAGGGCACAGCTAGCATCACTGTGTCCATCTCATAGACAAGGAAACTGAGGCTTTGAGAGCAGAAAAATAATCCAGCTGGTCTGGTTTCCTCTTCTGTGCCAAGCACTGCACCAGGTCCTTCCAAGGTTCTTGTTTAATACTGTGACCACCTAGAGGCTCAGCCTTCAGTGACCGATGAGGGACCTGAGGGCCAGATAGGGGACAGAGCCTCCCCTGACCACCAGGGAGATGGTGGCAGAGCTAGGCACACTCACTGCCTGTGGCCTGTCAGGTCCCCTATCTGAGCTGGACACTCTGCTACCCTGGTCCTGCCTAATCCTAAGCCCAGCCCTCAGGCCTCAGCAATGAAGCATGACTTTCCCACTTCCGTCTTGTATTTTAGCTACAAAAAGAGCAAATTGAGTCTATAAATGTCGGAGGCACCAAACTAGTGATCGATGGTAGGTGCTTAGAGCCAAGTGTGAACCTTTGTGTGCTTCCTCCTCTCCCCTCTCCTACTGCAGGCCCAGCCCCTGGGGACAGGGTTGGGGGACAGAGGTGGGACCCTCCTGCCTACTCCTACAGAGGGCCCTGCATGGGGCGTGACAGTGTGTCTGGGAACACAGGGTGCAGGTTGGGCACTCAGGGTTTAGGGGCTGGGAGGAAGAAAAGTTACTAAAGCAGCAAAATAGAAGATCTATATCTGGGCTCTCTGGCTACGTCCTGCCTTATGCTGTACCCCATTTTTCTCTCTGATTCTAGAGTGTTTTTTTTCCTATGTCCCCCTCAAATGAGACTTTCTTCTGATCTGTCCCTAGTGAGGCAGAGCAGAGGCTAAAGCCTCACTAGGAATAAAGAGCAGGCCAGGCCATCAGGGGCTCAGTGAGCAGGGATTTGTCCTACAGCCCAAGTTAAGGGCAGGAGGCCCTTCCCTCCCAAGCAGCTCTGGATTTGGGTAGGGCCGTGGGCCATGATGTATAAAGATGGGGTAGAGATCTGTGGGTTCACCCAAGAGATCCCTGTGGGCACCTCCTCAGCCAACTCCCTCCTCACACTCAGCCCTACGTGTGTCTTTTTGCATGTGTGTGTCTGTGCGCGCGTGTGTGTTCCTGTGTGCACCTGTCTCTGCAGTCTGCGTTCGCCGGCGGGTTCCAAGGCTTATCTACACCAGCACTGTCAACGTTGTATTCAGTGGGAAGCCCATAGAGCAGGGCGATGAGGACTCTGTGCCGTATTTCCCATTGGACAAGGTACTCGGCTTCCAGGAGAGGTGGGTGGGGCCAATGGGCCTGGACCCACAGCCCAGAGGGCCGGGATGGGTGAAATTGGAGTCTACTGCACAACTTTGTGTGACTCCCAAGAGGAAGGGGACCCCCTCAAACTTGGGTGGCACAAGCCTGCTCCTGTTTCAGCTGGCCATGCCCACAGGGGCTTTGAAATAAGACAAACCGGCTCGGCACCTGTGGCTCAAGTGGCTAAGGTGCCAGCCACATATACCTAAGGTGATGGGTTCGAATCCAGCTGGCGCCTGCCAAACAACAATGACGGCTGCAACCAAAAAATAGCCGGGCATTGTGGCGGGCATCTGTGGTCCCAGCTACTTGGGAGGCTGAGGCAGGAGACTCGCTTGAGCCCAGGAGTTGGAGGTTGCTGTGAGCTGTGATGCCAGAGCACTCTACCCAGGGGGATAGCTTGAGGGTCTGTCTCAAAAAAAAAAAAAAAAAAAAAGAAAGAAATCAGACAAACCTGCCTTGAGTTCTCACCTGGCCACTTTCTACCTATGTTACCCTAAGCAAGTCACTGAGGTCTCTGAGCTACTGTTTCTTCATTGGGACTTACCACTATTGCCTTGAGGTTGTGGAGAGCAGGAGATGAGAAGATGCATAAGCAATAAAGGGAGACATAAGTCATTCACTCAGTGCACATCCAGCCTTGGTGTCACAGGGCAGGCATTGGGGGCTGGCAGGAGCCTCCCTGAGTCAAGGAGCCCTGGCCCTTGTTGCTCTCCTAGCCCAGTGCTTCTGTGACTCTGGGAGGAGACACACCTCCTCCCACCCACAGGGAGAGGAGGGGCAGCAGGGCAGGCCTAGAGCTTCCATATCCCAGTGGGAATCCCCAGAGTCTAGGCCCTGTGTGGTCTGAGAGTAGGTACAGCCCTAGGGACCAAGTCAGGTGAGCTGCCAGCAGTATTGCTGACCCCTGTCTTGTGGCTCTGTTCTGCTTGTCCTCTGGCAGCACATGGACCACTATTCCCGAACCAAAGCCATTGCTGACCAGTTGACCCTCATGGCCAATGGGACACCTCTTCCAGGCAAGTATCTTTTGGTTCTGTTCACCCCAAGTGCACCTGCCACTGCTGCTGGCCCCAAGGTACTTGTGTGATTCCAGCATTTGGCTGACGTGTGTCTGACCCCTGCCTTACTGCCTTCCAGAGAACCAGTCCCAGGGCTGTGGCCATTCAGCATTCAGCAGGTTCGGAGCACCTGTCATGTACCAGTCCCCTGCCAGATATACAGACTGAAAAAGTCAGGCCCAGTGACTGACCTCATTTCATCCACAGTCTTTTGGGTTAGCCCAAGTCTAGCTGTCTCTGTGCCACAGGAGTGAATCCAGATTTAGGGGTCCTCTTTAGATAAAGAGTACAAAGTTATGAATATGAGTGAGACATAATGGTTTGGAAGGGCTATGTAAGGGCTCTTCAATAACTTTCCAGAAAAATCTCTCTCAGCTGCCTTATAATAAGGCAATATGTTTCCCTGAAAATAAGACCTACCCAAAAAATAAGCCCTAGCAGATTTTCTATGCATTTGTTAAATATAAGCCCTACCCCAATAATAAGACCTAGTGGTGAGCGGGGCTATGCAATGTATCTGCATAGCCATGCCATGAATTTCGGGCAGAGAGAAGACATCCCCTGAAAATAAGCCCTAGTGTGTCTTCTTGAGAAAAAATAAATATGAGACAGTGTCTTATTTTCAGGGAAACAGGGTAATAGAATATGGACAGTCCATATTTATTGAGTAGTTACTATTATACATGCCAGGCCCTATTTTGCATGCTAATTTTATGTGCAAAATTGTTATTAACTCTTGACAGCATCTCTATCAGGTAAGAAACTTAGGCATCTCTTGTTTTCCAAACTTAAGAGCCAAATCTATTTAGATAAATTCCTTGCTATCCAAATTAATACTATTTGTTTTCTGAAATTCAGAAACTAAAAAGAATCAGATAAGTTGGTTTCCCTTCACTATCAAAACCAGGGGTCCTCAAACTTTTTAAACAAGGGACCAGTTCACTGTCCCTCAGACCATTGGAGGGCTGGACTGCAGGCCCCGGGCTGAGTCAGCTGCTAAGCAGGACAGGCAGTGGTGGCAAAAACACCTGGCGGGCCAGATAAATGTCCTAGTGGGCCATAGTTTGAGGATGCCTGATCAAAACCCATCTAAACTTAACAGCCAGATGGATTTGGGAATCGAAAGATACTTACAATTAGAATCCTTGACTTACAGGGAGAAAAATGAGACTGATGAACTGACTTAGCTCAAGATCACACAGCTGTTAGGTGGTAGAAGTAGAGCCTACTGGTAGGATTTGAACTCTGTGAGAGTCTAACACCAGCACCCAAGATCTAACCACTATGCAGCTCTACAGTCCCAGCTGAGCAGGTACTTGAGTGTAGGATCTTTTCCCTCAAATCTTCCCCAGTTCCTCATCACTCTAGGCTAATCAGGCCTGGTCCCCTGATAACAGTGGGAATGTCCAGCTGTATTTGCCCAGGGTTTGAGCCTGTATAGTTGAATTCTCTTCTCTACCTGGGACCTTCCCCAGCCGGACCAGCAGCCTGTGTACTAGACACCTAATCCTCTGGCCAAGAATTATTTATGTGAGCACCCCCACTTTCCATAGTTGGGAGAGTCATGGATACCCTGGGCCCAACCCCTCTGTGAAGTGGCTGCCCAGTGCCCCGCCTGCCAATGTCAGCTGCAACCTGACCTCCCCTCATTGTGCCCAGATAACCTGGAGTTTAAATTTAGCTGTGGGCTGTTTACAGAAAACCTCACCAGATACCTGCTTTCCAGGAGTCCAGCCATCATCACCCTGGGTGATTTTCACTCCTTACTACCCCAGCTGGTCCCAGAGACTGTCCTAATTCAGGCATTCTAATTTTAAGCATCCTTCACTTCCTAGGAGGGCCCAGGTCAGGCAGGGAAATGATGTCATTTACTTTTCTACAAGGACTCTGTTGCTGGAGGTAGGAAAAGGGCTGTAGAGAGACTTGCTGGCTCAGTGCTTTTCACATTACAAATCAAGATTTATTAGTGAGATAAGAAATCAGTTTAGGGAGCTGGGCTTGGTGGCTCACACTTGTGATCCCAGCGTTTGGGATGCTGAGGTGGATGGATTGCCTGAGCTCACAGGTTCAAGACCAACCTAAGCAAGAGCAAGACCCTGTCTCTAAAAATAGCCAGGCGCTGTGGCGGGCGCCTGTAGTCCCAACTGCTTGTGCGTCTGAGGCAAGAGAATCACTTGAGCCCAAGAGTGTGAGGTTACTGTGAGCTAAGACACCACAGCACTCTATCAAGAGTGACCAAGGGCTCGGCGCCTATAGCTCAACCGGCTAAGGCGCCAGCCACGTACACCTAAGGTGGCAGGTTCGAATCCCCAGCCCGGACCCGCCAAACAACAATGA